AAAATTGCACAAATATTTAAAAAATAGTTTATTGTCTAAATATTAAACAGCATCAATGACATTGTATAATAATTTACAATATATTTAATGAGATTTTTTAATATTGATTAAGACAATCCTTTATGTTAAATCATGCAAAATAAATACATAAATGTATAAAGAAAACATTGCATAAGTTAATCTATTTATATAAGTAATATTTCATTATTTAATAAAAAACTCATAATCTTCTATAACTTTCACGTTGTTGTGACTGAGATCCTGATGTTAATGTTGAATAAATAAATGGTAAAATTGATGCTAATGCTAGACAGAGTCCTATTACCGGTCGATACCACACCCAAGCAAAACCAATTACTAATAAACTAATAGACATTGATACAGACATTGTTACAGACTCAACTGCAATAATTCCACACAAGAATGTTGAATTAAGAATTACTGTCCTCAATATATTTGCTAAACATGTTGCTGCCAAAAATAAGACTAACCAACCAAGTCCTCTGAAATAGTTAATAAATTTATACTAGCAAATTAAAAAAATCAAGCAATATACAATTTTAATTACAAAAGGTATTACCTAATACTCCATGTACGCCAATAATTGTGTACATGTTCTAAATGAAACATTTGATCCACTGATATCTTATGCTTTCTTTGAAGTAAAATTTCATCACCATGTGATGTAATATATGGTACAATAGTTCCTTTTTGTAACATACCAACTATAGAGTATATATCACCTCCTTTTCCTGCATATGAGAATTGTATACGTATATCTCCTACCTATAATTAAATGTATCATTGTTCAGTTTACTTTATAAGTTTGATTTAACAATGTACCTGAGGATTCCATAAATCAGAACTATGATAGTATAAACCAGAATGCATCTTAATATCTTTACGTTCAGGTCTTTCATCACTAGTAACTTCCACAAAATCATTAAACTTCTTTTTTAATTCAGTCCCAAGGGTAAAGGCTCCAATTTTAACTTCATCTGCAATTTGCACTTGACTTTTAATAGGCATTTCTTTTGGATTGTGATGGCCAGTTCTAATATAGAAACTATCAGAATCAACAAGTTTATCTTTCCATTCTGTTGTATAATAATAATGTTTTCCTTCTTCTGTTACTCCTCCAAAGCTAATATATAAATATTATAAATAGTAAAATTTGTTCATAATAAAATTGTAAATTATGTAAGTTACCTTCTTTCTTCTTCTATTTCAACCCATTGATACATCTGTACTCTCCGTTTTAATTTCACACTTGATACAATTACACCATAATCAGGTTCAGTTAATGGTTCCAATATCTTTAATGGGCCTGATAAATGTATTAAATGTCCTTCATATTCGGGTAATAACTTCATTGCATTTGGAAGCACTGCTACATTTCGTAAAGCTTCATCTAAAGAATGTGCTACTTTGACTGCTCTTCCCTATAATATTACACAGACATTTTTATAGTACAAATTGTTCTATTTAATCAATAGTACAGACATTTACAAACCTCATTCCAGAATAAAAGACACATGCCAGTTGCAAACATAATAAGTCCAATAATAGCAGTCAACCATGATTCTCTAAATTGTTCAGACACTGTCATTGGAACATTCATAGGGGGTGGTTGCCTTCCATTGACCAGATTTTGATGAATGGGTTCAGCATCCACCCTTTGGGGGTGTCCATTTTGCTAAAAAAATGTATACTTTTTATATTTAAACTATATTATAGGAAAGACAGATCATATATAAATATATTACTATCTATATGGTAAATATATGACTTATACATATGGATTAAATATCATATAATGTATTACATTTAATAAATATGAAATAAAACCAAATAAAAAATAAATAACTACTTAAACACAATAACATGCAAGTGATTTTTATGCTTACATTTGCACGATACATTTTAATAGATTACATTATATGACAGTGGCAACCCTTAACTCATCTGCTGAAACTAGTGCTGTCTAAAATAACATTTTATATATAATTTTAGACGAGTTTAGTTCAAAGTGAATACACTTCGATCGTGTTTATTCATGAATTGATATGTTCAAAATTAGGTTGTGAATATTGTCCAATCAATTTTACGCATTGTATGTGTATATTCCGTTCATGTAACTACAAATTCGTTTTTGCAACTTTGATGATGCTATAAATCACATGTGATCACGTGAGAAATAGTAACAGATGGCGTTTAAGCAAGCCTATTTTATTTCATACAAGCCACCTTAATTCGATAAAAGCTTCCCATTCTTTAACCTGACGCATGATAAGATCGTTGCGCCCTCGACATTTATCCGCCGTGTTTAAACTTATAGTACTTCAAGTAGTGCATCGCAATATGTTGAATCGGTCAGTATTGGGTGAGGTGCAAAGTATAAAGTTTCGGTTTTAGTTCAATAAAAATATTTAATGATTATCGTCTGTGAGTAATATTGAAATTAAAGTTCAGCACTGTTAGCAAGCTTCAAAAATTGTTTGCTTTATTATAAACAAAAATGAAAATTTTGTAATTTCATTAATTACAATTGTAATGTTGTTTAAATTCGGTGAAGTGCAGTTAACAATATCACCAAAATTAACATTTTGTAAAAATAGTTAGAAAGCGTAGAAATTATTTAAATAATTGTTGTCGTTCATAAATTATTAACACATATTTTCTAGATAGTACAAATGAAATAAGTATTACATGGCATAAAACAAATTTTAAAAGAATATTGCTTAATGGAATTCAAAAAACAAAAAACTACTTAGAACAAAGCAAGAAAGGAACATGTTATTAATATGAAGTGGATAATAATTTCGTGTATTTTATGTGTATTTGGTTGTTTTAAAGAGTTTAGGCCTTCAGAATCATTTATAACTGACTATTTAACAGGCCCATGGAAAAATTTTACAGATGTTCAAGTAAATAATACGTTTTTTACATATAATAGTTATGTGTGGTTACAGATATTAGTGAATAAATTTATTTACTTTGAAAATGTTATAAATTTTTGTATATGCTGTTGAATTTTTTTTCATTTTAAATAATCATATAACATATCTGTATATATTTAATAATACTGTATAAGATTACATTATTTTTCAGGTAAATCAAGAAATATTTCCTGTTTCAACATATTCTTATTTTGCAACATTAGTTATTATATTTCTAATAACTGACTTTGTACGATATAAGCCTATTATTATTTTATGTGGTCTATCTGGAGCTATTACTTATCTCTTAATAATACTTGGACAAAATGTTTTGACCCTACAAGTTGTAGAATTCTTTTATGGTTTGTTCCTTTCTACAGAAGTGGCATATTACACATATATCTATGCTAAAGTTGACAGAAAACATTATCAAGAAGTAACTAGCCATACAAAAGCAGCATCTTTGTTTGGTCGCTGTATGGCTGGTATTGTTGCACAATTAACAGTATCTTTTGATATATTAAATTATCATGAATTAAACTACGTTACAATATCAGGTACTTATTTTTACATCTAGTCAGGAATTCATGTAGGATAAAAACAACAATTTTTATTTTTATCAGAAATAGTGCTGATTAAATTGTTTCTCTAACAATTTATTTTTTTTTTTTGTTATTATGTAAAACAATTCTTGCTTTTCAGCTATTACATTTGCAACAATATGGGCACTTTTTTTACCTTCTGTTGGTCAATCTATTTATTTTCATAGAAAAAGTGAAAATTGTGATAAATTTGCTTCTGTAACAACTAATGCAACAACTGTATTACAAGAAAACAATTTGAATCCAGTATCACATAGATCTGAACAGCACAATGAGTGTTTTTCTCCAAATATAAATATTTCATTAATACAAAAAATAAAAGAAGTCTATATTTTATTATGGAAAGACTTTTTACAAGCATATTCAAATAGTCATGTTGTAAAATGGTCATTATGGTGGTCACTTTCAACTTGTGGATATTTACAAGTCGTTAGTTATATACAATTATTATGGCAAACTTCAGTATCCCCTGGAGATAAGATTTATAATGGAGCTGTAGATTCTCTATATACAATCATAGGTGAGACAATATTCTGTGTATTATATTTAACATATTTTTATTGTTCATATTATACTACCAAATAATCAATTGTAATAATAATATAATACTTTAATTGTTAAGTATTTTTTTCCATTTAAATATTTTTTATATATATAAGTCTGATTGTATGATTAGATTTAATAAGTGAAATTATAATATTCTTATTTTTGTTAATAGGTACAATTACTGTTTTTTGTATTGGAAAGATACCACTTAATTGGTATTTAATAGGAGATGTTATAGTATCATTTATGTCATTTGTGGAAGGTATTTTGTTAGTTGCTTCTTCATATAGTTACAATATTTGGCTATTATATGTTGCATATATAATGTTTGGAATTATTTATCACACAATGGTTACTGTTGCAAGGTACCACTTTTGTTTCATAATTTAATTTATGTATTATAATATACCATAATACATTGTAATTTTATGTGTACAATTTACAGCTTTGAGGTTGCAAAATTTATATCAGATGATAGCTATGGTTTAATATTTGGTGTGAATACCTTTTTTGCATTATTATTGCAAAGTGTATTAACAGCAGTAATAGTGAATGGAAATTTAAAATTAGATTTGAGATCTCAGGTAAGTTTGTTATTTGAATTTCAGTTTGACATTTTTTAGAATTATATAAACTTAAGTGGCTAATAAAATTTATAAAAGCAAATAAGAAGTTTTAAATAAATATTACTTCAAAAATTGGTTTTGTTCATAGTAGTGTTTTATATGGAGAATAAATATCTCATATTGTTCAATTTTTTTGCATGAAATTTTCTTTTTTAATTATTATTTATTATATTAATTTGA